TCATCATTTGTATTGAGTTAGCCAAAAAGTCCATTACATTTTTTCTGAAGGATGGCTCTAGTAGTGCTTTGCTGTCTTTACCTTCATTCGAAAGAATTTTGTTAGATTGTATTGACAGCTGTCATGTCAGCGTGCATTTAAAGAAAAATCAAAATTGGTGAATTTTTGTGCATCCTTTTGAATATTGAAGATGGAAGTAGATATGCAACATCTTTGGCATGTTATGCTTTATTATTTCAAGTAAGGTAAAAATGCAACTGAAATGCAAAAAAAAAAAAAAAAAGGTGTGTGCAGTATATGGAGAAGGTGCTGTGACTGATGGAATGTGTCAAAAGTGGTTTGCAAAGTTTCTTGGTACTACCGACATTTTAACCAAATAATTCTTTGCTCTGGGGCTGTTTTATGCTTTGGAAGATGTTTAGCAGCACCCTCGGCCTCTATCCAATAGAACCTAATAGTGGGAGACAGCTGACATACTCAAAATATCCAAATCAATAAAGTTATTGGTGAAAATGAAAATATGTCTTTTATTTTACAGAAAAAATGAAATGGACTTCTTGGCCAACCCAATAAAATATCTACATAAATCCCTCCCTATTGCTCCTGTAGGACAAGTGGGGGGAGGTACTGGAGGAACTGACATAATATGTTATTCATGTTGCTGTATCATAAAAAGTCCTTAATCTCTAACTCAGGAATCTTTTCTTCTTCCAGCTCCATAAAGTAGTAACAGGCAAACTTGTGAGCTTAGAAGGTAAAATCCCATATCCTTCACAATCTTTGGCAAGTACAGAGCAATACATAATTAAAACATATCCCACACATCTTTTCTATATTTTTTACCTTTTTCTCATGGTGTTTCATTATAAATATTTTCTCCTGTTCTATATTCTAATTCATTAATTCTCCCTTCATTTTGGTCTTCTTTGTTGCTAAAACCATCTCCAATGAGTTCATTTTTTAAGGTATGATGTTTTTCAGTTTTAGAATTTTCACTTGGTTCTTCTTTTAAATTTTCAGTTCTCCAATGAAGTTCTCAATCCTATCTCTTTTTAGCAATGTAATTACATTTAATTATTTTAAAATCCATGCACAGTAATTCCATTATTAGGATCCCTTGAGGGTATTTCTACTGTCTATTGTTTCCTCTTCATTTTTGGTCACACTGTCTTGCCTCCTGGCCTTTTTATTTTAATTCAGTGTTTGATACTGCATATGAAAAATTTAGAGGTAGTTAGAGACTTAGAGTAATGTCACTTTCCTCCAAAGAGGATTAATATTTACTTCTAACAGGTGATTTAGAGGCACTGGAGTCACAGATCATCTTAATCTAATCACTAATTGAGATGTTTCAATGCTGGAATTTATTTCTAAGGTATAACACTTTGGGGTTCCCAACTTAAGCACTGAGAATTTACCAGGACCAATCTCCAAACCCTGGTGGACTATAAACACCTGTTTTGTTTGTCTAGCCTTAAGCGTCCATCAAAAATCTCTGCTCAGCTTACCATCCAGCTTTCTCAGAATCAACAGATGCTACTAAGCAGCAAAGTTGTCTGAAAAAGCTGCTCACCTTTTAATAGCTTTATGATATACTCAAATACATCTTTTATGTTTTGCCAGTATTTCTAATATTTTTTATCTGGAGTATTAATCCAAATAATTTATCAAACATTAACAAAAGTAGAACTTCTCCAAAAACAGATTTAATGTGCTTAATATTTAAAGGTTGTGGAAGTTCTGGTCTTTTTTCCCCTTTTCTCCATTATGGGTCAGACCCATACATGTTTGTTTTCAAAATGCCAAACATCTTTAAAGGTGAGGTGTATTATCAAGTAAACCAAAAGGACATACTTTGTTAATTGTGCAATACCTTAGGTAAACACAACTTGCCTCCTGGCACAGTTAGATCAAAATTAAAACTAACTTACAGAACCACCATCACTCAGAACCGCCAGAAATGGAGTTGAATGGAAATCTGACAACTATGGAAAAAGAAGCCACATCCATCCAGACTGGTAGAAGGGGTGACCCTACATCCACGTGTAGTGGATAAATATTCAGGAAGGATGTGCCGGGAGCGAGGAGTCCCAGCCGCACACCAGGCCCTCTGGCCAAGGGTTTCAGTGCAAGGAAGATAAGTCCCTGTAACTTCTGGCTGCGAAAACCAGCAGGAATTTAGTCAGTGTAAGAAAGTTCTGGAGTCCCAAGCAGTTCCTCTTAAAGAACATACAAACTTAAAACTCACTCCTTCTGAGTTCCAGCACTGGGGTAACAGCTTAAAAGGCACCAACGGCATATGGGGAGGAACTGAAGTGTCTGGCATCAAGGAGAGAGCTGGGGGACAGCTTTTTCCCAGGCAGAGGACATTGTCCCTTTTCTGAACCCTTCTCCCAAGGAGCCAGTAGGCAGGCAGGTGACCTATCTGAGATTCCATTGACCTGGCTAACATTGTTTGCCCTGCCCTGGAGATCCCATAAAGCCTCCATCCCACCCAACTTACGGCCCTATCCAAGCTGTTAATAGTGACTTTTCCAAATGAATAGCATGTCTTAGCTGATGCTTCACAACCTCCTAAATCCTTTCAAACAAGCAAGAGCTGGCTTCAGTGAGCTCCTAGCCCTCGAACCTCTTGTTAAATGGCACCAGGCACAGCACTAGCATCAGCTGGCCTTGATTCACTGTTTGGTTTTGCCTGGAATCTCCAAGCCCAACACAAGTAGCAGCCATCTCAGATTGCTTCACAGCTCAGGCAGGGTGGCCCCAGGCAAAACACAGGTGGAGGCTGACCTTGGCCTGTACCATCCAGGAAACTCCAGGGCCTGCACACCGAGTAGATAGCTACAAACCACATTGGAGCATCACCACCCTGCCCCTGCACAGCTGATCCTCCATAGAGAGCAGAGGTTGTTGGTCAGTGGTCACATCCAGTTCTTGCAGCTGACTGGCCTGGGTAAATCCCTCCCATCGACCTGCCAACAGCAACCAAGGCTCAACTACAAGAGGAGGGTGTACAGCCCACACAAAGGGCACATTTCATGTAAAAAACTTGGGTGATAGGGGAGGCTGAGCCACTGGACCCTAAAGAACACCTACATTAGGCCACGCTACTAAGACAGAGTCAAAGCAGCTTTACCTAATATATAGAAACAAATGCAGGGAGGCTACCAAAATGAGGAGACAAAGTAACAGGGGCCAAATGAAAGAACAGATCAAAACTCCAGAAAAAGAACTAAACAAAATGGAGATAAGCAATCTATCAGATGAAGAATACAAAACACTGGTTATAAGAATGCTCAAGGAACTTAGTGAGGAACTCAACAGCATTAAAAAACATCCAGTCAGAAATGAAGGGTTCACTAATTGAAATAAAGAATAATTTACAGGGAAATAACAGTAGAGTGGATGAACACAAGGGAGCAAAAAACATCCAACCAAAACAAGAAGAAGAAAGACTCCAAAGAAAACGAGGATAGTACAGCAGCCTCTGGGACAACTTTAAGAGGTCCAACATTCGTATCATAGGAAGTCCAGGAAGCACAGAGAATGCCAAACAGTATAAACCTATAGAAACCCACACCAAGACACATCATAATTAAAAAACCAAAGGTTAAAGGGAAAGAGAGAATCGCAAAACAGCAAGAGAAAAGCAGTTAGTTACCTACAGGGGAGTTCCCATAAAAATGTCAGCTGATTTCTCAAAAGAAACTTTTAGACTAGAAGAGATTGGCAAGAAATATTCAAAGTGATGAAAAGCAGGGACCTACAGCCAAGATTGCTCGACCCAGCAGAGCTATCTTTTGGGATTGAAAGGCAGATAAAGAGCTTCTCAGACAAGAAAAAGCTAAAGGAGTTCATCATCGTCAAACCATTCTTACGTTAAGTGTTAAAGAGACTTATTTAAGAAAAATAAGATGAAACCAATGAACAATAAAATGGCAAAAATCTACCAACATATCTACCAACAACTGAATCTAAAAAATAACTAAGCAAACAAGAACAGAGACAGTCATGAATACAGAGAGGGTTTTGATGTTTGTCCAATAGGAGAGGGTGTAGGGGAATTGGTGAAGAGGTGAGGGGATTAAGAAGTACCAAAAGGTAGTTACAGAACAGTCACGGGGAAGTAAAGTACAGTGTGAGAAACGGAGTAGCCAAAGAACTTATGCTCATGACCCATGGACATGAACAATGGTGTTGGTATAGAGATTGCATGAGGGAGCAAGGGTTCTTGGTGGAGGGGGGCACAGGGGGAAAAAATGGGACAACTACAACAGTATAAACAATAAAATACAATTAAAAAAACAAGAAAAATATGCAATACCTTCAGAAAATGTCATCTGTACAAAAACACTTGTAGTAGTGAAGACAAAACATCTGGAGTGAAAAAACTTTAAAAAGTGGGGTTTTTTTGTTTTTTTTTTAGAAAGAGACTCATAGATACATAGAACAAACCGACAGTTGCCAGAGGGAAAGGAAGTTGGGAGCTTAGTGAAACAGGAGAAAGGACTGAGAAGTACAAATTGAGAGACACGAAACAGTCAAAGGGATGTAAAGTACAACATAGGGAATATAGTCAATAATACTGTAATAACTATGTATGGTGCCAGGGAGGTACTTGAAGTATTGGGTGAATCACTCTGTAAAGAATAATGACTGTCGAACCACTATGCTGTATATCTGAAACTCATACAAAATAATATTAAATGTAAACTGTAATTGAAAAATGAAATTTTGAAAAATCAGGAAATATGTATTTTTTAAATGAAAAAAAAATGTACCACAGTAATTTCACATTTCAATGAAAAAGAAGGAAAAGTACATCAGCTTCCATATTTCTGATTATGAAAGTATCATTTATCATGACCTAATGTTTTTAAAACATTCTATACATGATACAGTTTTTTCCTATATTCTTTTTCCCTTGGTAAATTATGCAATTTTATAAAGATCTGAAGTCTACTCAACATCTGAGAAATACCGTGTCTGTCAACACTTACCATGAAAAATACGAAAATCAATATACGGATGAGAACCTCTTCTTTCTGATTCAAATCCTGCTCGACTCCTTACACGTACATCTCCTGGACAGAGTCAACAATAAAACATAAGTTTAGAAGAATACCATCTGGGTAGAGGCTCCCATGTGCAACAAGGGTCTATATGTATCATTTTCATAAGTAATGGCCCACAATTAATATATATGGAATTAGTTAAGAGCTGATTTATATAAATTTTCAGTACTGAGTTGTACAGCTAGATGGAGTTCTTTAAATCTACTTCTACAATAATAATGATTATAATCTATATTTTAAAGTTAGCCTTCTGAAAGATGACTTTAAGTGTATGATAATTCAACCTAATATCTTACTACCAACATGGAATTTAAAAAATCCTCATCACAAAATGTTAAAAAGCAACAGGGAGAAGGAAAAATTTATGAAGTGCATACTTTGTACCTAGCACTATACTATAGGCTATAGGGAATACGAACAAAGGGAAAATATATTACCTATTCTCAAGGAGCCTACAATTTTCTTTAAATGTACAGAAAATTAAGATGTTAAAGGTTTTGCCTTATTTAATTGGATCAATCTTCTTCTAAGGCCTTTAGCAGGCTCTTAACTTTGGCCTTTACAAGCTCAGTACTGTTTCTACATGCATCCATATGACCTTCAGATGTACTTCTCCATATAGCACCAGTGCAAACCACAGGCCCAGAACTCTTTTTTTGTGACTTATTGGCATTATTTTACTTAACTCTCTAACCAATTCTGACTGGATTTTAATCTCATTTTATAGATGCAGATACTGAGTTTTTGAGAAATAGCATGTCCCTGCCATAAAGTTCGTGTAGAAAGTGAGTCAGGATTTCTGCCTTGCTCTGTGGGCTCCACTGTATTTCCATAGACTCCAGGTTCATAACCTTTAAGTCTTTTAGTGCCTATCCCTGTGCTTTTGCAATTCTACATGCCTCGAAGGCTTTCTTGCTTACTCTGTTTCTCAGTAAGGCCATCATTTCTTTCAAAGTTCATGCCATCTACCGCGAGTCCATCCCACAATGATAAATTACTTCTCTCATGTGGTGATTCCTTCACTTTACAATAAATATTTACTGAGTACCCAACTACACTTCAGGCTCGGGAAATACAGCAGTAAGCAAATACACCAAGCCCCCGTCTTCATGAAGCTTATCCTTTCATGGAGTGAGGCAAGTAATAAACAATTTCATGCTATGAATGATGTCAATAGGTGACATGGAGAAAACGAAAGCAAGGTAAGATGAACAGAAGGCAGGAGTAGAGTGATTCATGAATATGGTCCAGAGAAGGCCTCAGTGAAAGGCATTTGAGAAGAGATCTGAAAGAAGTAAGGCCGTGAGCCATATGGCTGTCTGGAGAAAGATGTTTCCCGGTTTAAGAAAGATCAAGTATTGTCCGGGGCCACGTGGCTTAGTCGGTTCAAGTGTCATCCCGTGCACCAAAAGATCATGGGTTTGATCCCCAGGCAGGGCACATACCCAGGTTATCTGTTCGATCCCCAGTGGGGGTGCATATGGGAAGCAACTGATAGCTGTTTCTTGCTCACATTGCTATTCCTCTCCACCCCCCTTACTAAAAAATCAAAAAACCTATCCTCGGGTGAGGATTAAAATAAAAGGAAGAGCAAGTATAAATATCCTTAGATGGGAATATGCTTGGCATGTTTAAGGTCAAGTAAAGAGGTCAGCATGGCTGGAGTGAGGTGAGTGAAGAGAACTGGTGAGGTGAGGTCAGAGAAGCAGCAGGGCCAAATCATGTTGGACCTTTGTGGGCCTTTATAACATAAGCTTTGGCTGTTACTCTATGATCAAAAAAAAAAATTAAGAGAATTTTGAACATATGAGTAAGAATGATTTAACTTATGTCTAAAAAGATTCATTCTGGCAGGGTATACTCGAGTTGAGTAGAATCACATAGGTAGAAGTAGAGGGGCCAGTTGAGTGAGTGCAATGAACAAAAGGCAACAGCTATGCTTTGTAGGGAGCGGGGGATATGGGAAGATGTTGGTCAAGGGGTACAACATTTCAATTGTGCAAGCTAAGTTCTGGAGCTCTAATGTACAACGGTGTGACTATAGTTAAAAATCAACTACAGCTTAGATTGGATGGTAATAGCATTGGGGTAGCAGAATTCTGGTTATATTTTGGAAATATCAGCCAAGAAGATTTGCTTGCTGATAAAGTAGATGTAGAGTATTTAAGAAATAAGAGTCAAGAATGACTCCAAAGAATGGAGTTACTTCTTGGGATGGCAAGACCGCAAAATGAACAACCTTGGGAAGACAAATCTTTTAACAGACATGTTAAATGTGAAATATCCATTGTATGCCCATGTGGAGATGTTCAAGAGAATTTTTAAAAATATGAGTCTAAAGTTCTGTTTTAAGGAGAGCATAATCCTGAAAAGGTTTGGAGAGAGATGGAGACAGTGAAGAGGAAAGAGATGAACATTCATGGGGGGGAAATAGGTAGTAGAGTAGAATAAAACTGACGCAGATATACAAAGTAAATTAAAGTGAAAAATAAGGAAAAGAGCAAAAACAAAACACTGGAGAACATTTAGGCTTAAGAGTATGAAAAGGAATTAGCGGAAAAGGCAAAAAAAAAAAAAGTAAGTGAAGAATAAGGAATGTTCAGTATCATAGAATTTAGGGAAGAGTGCTGAACATGAGGATAGTCATGCAAGATACCGCTGAGGAAAGATGAGCAAATCTGCCTACTGGAATCTTAATAGTACATTTTTTACAAAATGAATAGAGTACAAGGAATAAAGAGCATGTAGGTAAAGAGATAATCTGGCAAAGAGACTGAGAGAAAGAGTGAGACAAAGAAAGTTATACACATATACAAGGTCTGTCCAGAAAAAGTCCAACCACTGTTAATAGAACAAGAACAGTTTGCGTGACATTGGTGTAACCTGACCGCCAAGGAGAGTGGACTGGAAGGCACACGTGTGAACAATGATGACGTCACTGTACTAGTCAGTGGGGGCAGCAGACGCTGTTGAGTGAGCATGTGTACTATGTAGCTGTTGCATTCAAAGTCACTGTACAAGAAGAGCAACAAATCTGCATCAAATTTTGCATTAAGCTTGAACATTCCTCTGCAGAAGCTATTCAGGTAATTCAAAAGGCCACAGCTATGGGCAACTGGTGACTGGCACCTTTATCACAACATACTGGCTCATGCATCACATCTTGTAAGAGATTTTTGGCAAAACATCAAATTACCAAAATAACACAACATACTGGCTCATGCATCACATCTTGTAAGAGATTTTTGGCAAAATATCAAATTACCCAGGTGACTCAGCATCCCTACAGCAGATATGAGCTCTGTGACTTCTGGCTTTTTTCAAAACTAAAACCCTTTGAAAGGGGGGAGATTTCAGATCCTCAATGAGATTCAGGAAAATACGACAGGGCAGTTGATGGCAACTGGAAGAACTGTGTGAGGTCCCAAGGTGCCTACTTTAAAGGAACAGAAGAGTCATTGTCTTATTGTAACACGGTCCCCCCAAAGGGTATTTGTAATGGAGTCAAGAAATTGGGGTGTCCAAGAAAAATATATTCTACCCACCCCAAAACAGGCCACCATGTGGGATGGAAGACCTGGAGCAGGGCCATTGAGAATTACTTTGCATGTCAATAACAGCTGGCTAACTTCATTCCTCATATGCAAAGATGGTTATTTTGCATCTCAACAAGGCTAACCGGGATGGTTTGAAAGACTTAATACAGAATGTAACTGGGAGAGGAAGGAGGAGAGATAGGGTCTGCGGGAGAGTCAAAGGGACACAGACTCTGGGGAACAGTGTGAAGGCCACGTGGGAAGAAAAGGGGAGAAAGGATTCTTGCTAGTGGGCTGTGAGGAGGTGCCCCATGGTTATGGATTAAGAGCTGGAGATCACAGAGAAGCAGCGGATGGTGCTGAGAACCGTGAGAGGCTTGCCTAGCCGAGCCCCGGACTTCTGTTCTTTTTCTTCTGAAGGACAATACCCCTGACTGGCCTGACTGGACAAAGGGGGGAAGGCAGGACTGTGTATGTTGGTGGGTGTTTTAAAGGGATTTTGAGATTTAAGAGCAACATTTAGCCATTAATCAAACCTGTATAACTTTTGAATAAATAGTTCCTTTCCTTTTCATCAAACTCTGCCATTCAGAGCCATAATTCCAAGGGCAGTGGGCAAAGGACCTACAACCGAGGGACCCCGGGGAAGGGGGCAGGGAGCGTTGTTTCAGCAATAGCATCTGGGCGCCCCCCCACGGGTCCACTGTTCCGTAACGCTATGTACAATGTTATCTTTTATCTTCTTCAGTAAATGTCTTACTTTTCATATTTCTGGACACACCTCATTATGTGAAAATTCATTTTATCTTATGGATTTAAGTAATACATTAAAAATTTAAGAACTGACATGAGAAGACAAACAGTCTTCCTCACCAACCAACTCAGAACAAACTACACCCAGTGACAGGCCTATCTGTCTGATCAGGTACATCTGTGTCCGCGTTAGCATGAACATTTATTTAGCATCGAGCAGCTCTACAAATCTAAGACTCTTTATGACGAGTACTCAGGATGTGTTTTAAAACTGGATACTAGTGAGAGTCCCAGGTATTAAGCCAGATTTCTCAATTACCTCTAACTAAAAGGCTGCTTTATTCATACCACATTCAATATTCATTTCTAGACTCAATTTCAAAGTAATAGGTTATTTCTGCTGCAAACAGTGTTGAAAAGCTACCTAATGAAATACATCTCAATTTCAAATAATAGATGTTAATAAAATTAACTGATACTGGTATAAAATAAAAAATGCTTACCTAGCATACGAATATACAATGCAGTCTGATCAGAACTGTCATAGGAAATAGCTCCACGTCTCTAAAAAAGAAAAACCATACACACATTTTAATGCATAAAAATATTATATAAAATTCATTTCAATATATGTATTTATTAGTGAAGCATAGTGAAAAAAAGTTGGACATACAAAATGAAATTAGATATAGCATATGCTCCTGAAATCTGTAGCTGTAAGGTAGACAAACAATCATAATACAATGTGGTTAAGCACTACCTAAAAGTGGATTCAGAGTGAAGAACACGCAGTAGGTAGAAACTCAATGTCCAAGTACACCAGATAAGCCCTCTCGGGGAGAGACCTCCTGCAGAAGTAAACAGAATTAGAGAGATGTGGCTCAACCGCTTTACTATTCCCTTCCTTTAAACATGAATGAGTAAGCAGACAAACAAGAATCATCAGATATCTGAAGAAAGCCCTTAGCTAAAAATGAATGGAATAAAATAAAAAACCAAATGGCCCAGATGCTAACAAGAAGTAAGAGAATTTTTAAAAAAGTAATGTCTATACTCAAAGAGATTTGCAAAGACATTGAATTTATTTAAAAATAAACAGATATAAAAATATATCTTGCAGCACTATTCATAATAGCTCCAAACTGGCACAACCAAATGTCCATCAGCAACTAATGGATAGATAAAATGTAGTATAGCCATACAATGGAGTCTTATCCACACATAAAAAGGAATGAAGTACAGATACACAATACAACACAGATCAAACTTAAGAACATTATGTTAAGTAAAAGGAGCCAGTCACAAAATACCATACAACATATGGTTCCATTTACATGAAATGTCTGAAATAGGCAAATCCATACAAACAAAGTATACTGGTAGTTGCCTAGAGCTGCAAGAGCTGGCAGGAAATGGAGAGCGAATGCTAATGGGTACAGGGTTTCTATCTGCAATGATGAAAATATTCTAAAATTAATTGTGGTCATGACTACAAAACTCTGAATATACTCAAAATATTTGAACTGTTCACTTTAGATGCATGAGTTGTATAGTATGAGAATTATGTATCAATGAAGCTATTATAAAAAAACAAATATTGCAAATTTAAAATATAATTACTCAAACCAAAAAAATTTATAAGAGCTGAAACACCTTCAGCAAGTTCTGCTAAGTCTACCTTTACATTCATCTCCCTTCCTCATCTGGTCTCCTGCAATGGGCTACCAACGGTATTCCTGATACATCTTTTGGTCCTTAGTCCACTCTTTACACAGAAGTGAAAGTGAACATTTCCACTCCTGTTCAAAACCCTCCAATGGCTCCCCGCTATACTTGGAATAAAGGCCAAACACCAAGCTCTGACCTCCCAAGGCCTCCATGGTCTGCCTGCCTCTCACCATCTTCTCACCACTATGACCCAGCCTTCCTAGCCTCCTTGCTCTTCAGCCGCACCAAACGTACTGCCATTGTATTCGTTTCCCCTGTCCAGGATCACTGCATCGCTGTTCTTCTCATCTCTCAGGTTCTACATGAAGTGTCATCTCTTCGGAGAGGCACTCCCAGACTATCAAATCTGAAGTCGCCTAAGAGTCACCCTCTTCCACAGCTCCATACCTTCATGCTCTGTACAGCACCTAGCTGATGTTACTTTGTCTGTTTGTTCCAAAACTAAAAATTCCACAAGAGAGAGAACTGTGTGTCTACCTTATTTACCACGATACTCCTGGCCCCCAAAACACTAGCTATTATTCAATAGATTCTAAATAAATATATGGTAAATAAGTGATTAAATGATTTATTGCAAATAAGTTAATGAATAGCAATGATATAAAGATGTGGGTAGCAGCGGAAGTGACTGAAAGCCAGCCAAGAGCTGAGCAAGAAGCATTGTTCCCTCTCAGACCCCTCCCCCCGCACACAACATCACAATGCAGAGACTTGGGTTGCCCCACCTTGGTGAATACCTAAGGATCCACCCCTTCCAAATAACAGGCATGCTGACACATAGAAATATGGCCCAAATGAGAGAACTGATCAAAGTTCCAAAAATAGAACTAAGCAATGAAGAGATAGATAGCCAACCTATCAGATGCACAGTTCAAAATACTGATAATCAAGATGCTCACAGAAATGGTTGAATATCGTCGCAAAATGGGAGGAAAAAATGAAGACTATGCAAAGTGAAATAAAGAAAAATATACAGGGAATCAACAGTAAAGGGAAGGAAACTGGGACTGTAATCAATAACTGGGAGCAGAAGGAAGAGAGAGAAACATTAAACCAGAACAGAATGAAGAAACAAGAATTCAAAAAAATGGGGAGAGGCTTAGCAACCTCTGGGACAACTTTAAACATCCCCACATCCGAATCATAGGGGTGCTAGAAGGAGAAGAGGAAGAGCAAGAAATGGAAAACTTACTTGAACAAATAATGAAGGAGAATTTCCCCAATCTGGCCAAGGAGATAAGACTTCTGGGAGATCCAGGAAGCTCAGAGAGACCCAAAGAAGTTGGACCCAAGGAAGCACACACTAAGGCACATCATAATTACATTACCCGAGATTAAAGATAAGGAGAGAATCTTAAAAGCAGCGAGAAAAGGAGACAGTTACCTACAAAGGAGTTCCACTAAGACTGTCAGCTGATTTCTCAAGAGAAACCTTGCTGGCAAGAAGTATGCAAAGTCATGAAAGACAAGGACCTACACCCAAGATTACTCTATCCAGCAAGCTATCATTTAGAATGGAAGGGCAGATAAAGTGCTTCCCAGGTAAAAAGGAGTTCATCATCACCAAGCCCTTATTATATATGAAATGTTAAAGGGACTTATCTAAGAAAAAGAAGATCAACAACTATGAACAGTAAAATGACAACAAACTCACAACTCTCAACAACTGAACCTTAAATAAATAAATAAATAAATAAATCTAAGTACTCAACTAAACATGAAGAGAACCACAGAAATGGAGATCGGTTGGGAGGGGATGGGGAAGAATGGGGGAAAAGGTACAGGGAATAAGCAGCATAAATAGTAGGTACAATATAGGCAGGAGGGAAGTCAAGAGTAGTATAGGAAATGGAAAAGCCAAAGACCTTTATATGTACGACTCATGGAGATGAACTGAGGGTGGCATGGGGGATGCTGGTGGGAGGGGTGGTGCAGAGTGGAGGGGAATAAGGGGGAGAAAAAAATGGGACAACTGTCGTAGCATAATCAATAAAGTATATATTTACAAAAATGAGTTCAACAGATATGACAGTGGGCTAATTTCCCCCTACTTCAGTATAGCCTAAAAAGTGCCTCACAAATCAATTAGACCATGAAGACTAGTGTAGAAAACAGGTAGAACATAAACATATGATTCACAAGAAAAAAAAAAGCCAATATACACAAGAAAAAATGTTTGACTTTATTAACAAATGAAATACATATTACAGCAGTGAAATCGCATTTTACATATGAGATTAATAAGACTGACAACTCCTCAGCATACATCTAGAAAATTTACTTAAAGTTCTTGTTTGGATTTAGTGTGCAAAACAACTCCCAGATCATTGTTATCTCTTTAATTCTTATCATTTAAGTGGAAACTATCAATTAAATTCTTATGTGATTTTATGTATCCTTAAAAAACAAAAACACGCAAAAAACGTTTAAGAAATGTAATAGAAATAAGAGTTGTGCCCCCAAAAATCTGATTTTCAACATTGGCTGCCTCCAAAGAGGAGGCAAAGAGACAGAGAGGAAGAAGGACTTTTCAGTATATAGCTTTTGAACTTTGTAGCATGTGTAGTTATGTATTCAGTAGATAACTCAAATTAAAAAGTCTAATAAGAATCTACTATAAAAAAATACAAAGAAAAGCATGATCTCAAATCCCAAGGGAATTAAACCATACACAGCATACTCCTGACAGCATCATGCACAAAGCATCTCCCCCAAACACAATATCCTGAGGAGGCCTCCTGCACTGTTTCACGGTAAACTATTTATTCTGGAGCAAAGAGTCACTTTAATCACCTGGTATGGAAAGACACCACACACACCTGCTATTCTAATCCCTACTCCAAAGATACTTAGCGTATTGTATTACAAGCCTCCCTTAATACTACCATGTTAGTGAAAAACCTTGAAGCCTGGAAAGCATATTATGTGGAAATAAATATTTCTATCAACTACATCATACTAATAAGGCTACAGATATCATTATGTAATAAATACCTTGTCATGTCAATATCTATCATCCTGCTAAGGCCCAATAATAACTTGGATAATAGCTTTTTAAAACAATTTTAACCTGTTGTCTCTAGCAGTGCTCCTTAAGAAGTGTTGTTGGCATTTTTTTTTTTTTAAACGTAAGAAGCGTACTTACTAAAATAGCCACTAATTAGAAAGGTAAAAACCTCATTTATCACTTTACATATTAAAGATTGAGAAAGCTCTGTTAAATACTGTAAGTCAAAAAATGAGTAATAAACATAGTCTAGATTATAACTATGACATACTAAATTTATTTTAGGACAATCACTTTAGACTTATTTATAGAGGCATTAATTTAGATGATAAAATGACAGGACTTGTATTAATCATAATAAAAATGTGGTAAAAAGCTAGAATTTAACTTTAAATATCTATCAACAAATTATACAGGGATGTACAAAATATTCAAATTATTCTATTCACTACTAATTTGAGTAATTCTGGTCCACAAATAGTTAGCTTAAATGCTATGCTAAACCACAAGACATAACTTTTATAAAGTAAATCCAAATGAGACAAAAATATTTTTTAAAATGGTCTTTGAGAGTATGTATCTGAACACATCAATGAATACATCCTGAGTGATAATTCAATTCATTCATTTGTCATTTCATGGACCAAGATTAAAATGAATATTAAATTCTCTCACTAAGCAATCTAAGTAGAATAATCTAAAGTAACTCATTTTGGGAAAAAAATTACTATATTATAAATTCTCACAATAAAAATCTGATTTCCATGTTAGGATCATGGTATTTTAAAAAATTTTATATGTGCTTTATACACCAACAGCGCAGCATAGA